AGATTTAAAGATGCACAGGGTTTAAAATTCATCTGGCAAACCAGTTTCTTTTGTGATAGGTGAACTGAGGCCTGAGAGAAGAGCCAAGTTGTTTAGGTCATACCACTTGATAGAGGAAGAGCTGGGAATAGTAACACATATCCTCACTTTGAATGCATGGTCTTTTCCATGGTGCTGGGTATAATTTTTAAAAACTATACTATCAATAGATTAGATATCAGTCTTTTCTATTTTAAACTATATTTGGTCCATCAGGAAAAAAAACTTAGAAAAAAATTTTAATAATATCATTGACGTTTATTTCCCCTGGATATGTCAATTATTAGTTTAAATTTACATAGACTTTATGTATGGGAAATGTGTGTAATCTTTGTGGGGAGGGTACTGGGGATTAAACCCAGAGGTGCTTTACCACCAAGCACATTCTCAGCCCTTTTTATTTTTTATTTTGAGACAGGGTTTCACTTAGTTGCTTAGAGCCTCCCTAAGTTGCTAAGGCCTTGAACTTATGATCCTCCTGTCTCAGCCTCCTGAGTAGCATCTCAAAGTAAACTCGTGTTTGTAGGTAAAGGCTTATAGAAGTGGCTCCACTAGAGTAGAACTATAAGCTGGACGGGTTTATGATTGTTCTGCAACCATCTTCTGGCGTAGACAGGTCTAATCTGGGATGCTCAAGTTACTCTGGAATTGACTGAATGTTTTTCCAGGATAATGGATCAAAGAAAGGCCGTTGACACCTCACTGCTACCCTGCTCTCCCTGTCTTTCCCCTAGGAGTGAAGTGCAGCCAGTGGTCTGAGGAGGCTTCAATGGTGTTTCGAAATCATGTGGAGAAGAAACCTCTGGTGGCACTGGTGCAGACGGTCATTGAACATGCTAACCCTTGGGACCGGAAAGTCGTGGTCTATCTAGTGGACACATCGCTGCCAGACACTGATACCTGGATTCATGATTTTATGTCACAATATCTGGTAGAGCTTTCAAGAGTTAATTAATCACTGCTTCTGAGACCTTGATGACTAATTCAGATTTTTTTAGCAATAACAAAATGTAGTAGGCTTTAAAAACATCGTATTTCTGCTACATGGCTCTGACTGTTGTGGGGGATTGAAACGAATATGCTTATGTTTGATGAAAGATATTTAACAAGTTTTGTTTTAACAGAGTTGACTTTTCAAAGAAAATTGCACTTGAATTATTACTATAATATTAGAATAAAAATGTTTATCAATATAAAAACTGACTACCTTGTAATTTCTAGGCTTTATGATCATAAGGTGAAAGTTTCCTTTTCTGTTCCTGTCTTCTTGCAATGCTGAATTCCTCTCCAGTTAAACAGAATTTTATGACTTGACCGTACCCTGATATGGTGGTGTATCCCAAAGCATGTGAAGATTTGTCCTGACTCATTAGCATATCAGCACTGTCACAGACCAGGCAAACTAGCACACACCCTTGACTCCAGAGCTTCAGTGGCTTCTCATTGTCCACAGAATCCAGACCCAAGGACAGGCCTTCCACAGCCCCTGCCCAGACTTGTCCACACATCCTGCTTCAGCCACATTGAACCTTTATCTGGAACCTAACCTCACGCATTTTCATCCAGGACTGCTGACGTTCTACAGCAAGACTCGCTACCCTCAAACCGTGTTTTTTTATTCCCACAACCTGCAGCTCATTCTCCCCATCTGTTTTCCATGCTTGACCCCCACGCGGACCACAAGCCCTCCCTGGTACCACTTTCTACTCCATAATACTCTCCTGGTTCCCATATCTCAGTGCACTTCACGGTACACAACTAGTTATCTGTACCCACCACCTCAGGGAGGGGAGGGACAGGCTTAGTCATCTCTTTATCCAGCAGTTCTCTGTATAGGTTTGACAGCTGGTCTGGCTGGTGAGAAGATGAGTCTTGATTTCTATTGTCAGACGGTTTGCTTGCTGTCTATACTCCCACCATTGTTGTTTTCTGGCTAATAATGTGACATCACTGGATGTGGAGTTAGGAAGGGAGGCACCTATATGGCTCTTATGGCCCTAGATRATGGACTCCAGCACACACTGTGTCATTGACAATGGACAGAATGGCATCTTCCCTAGGCAGGCACTTGTTATATGCTTGCTAACTGATGAGTAGATACAGGGGCTTTAACCCTGATGTAAAGATGGAGTGGAGAGGCCCCAGACTGAGTGGAGCAATGGAGACTGCTAAGGTAGCTCAGTGCTATTGCGCTTGCCTAGCATGCAGGAAGCCCTGGGGTCCAATACCCAGCACCAGAAGAAAAAAGAAAAAAAATGTGATGGGAATGAAGGAAAAAATATTTAAATTTAATTTAGTTAGCATAGGTAAGAAGATAAGAAAAAGTGAAGTCAGGTCTTAAGGACTAGGGTGATGATCCTTACCCAGTTTGAATGGAAGATTAATACTTTGGTTTTGCACAGACTGAATTTAAACCAACAGATCTCTGTGTGAAGATACATACAAACTATTAGAAATATGGGGTGAATTTAAGGGGAGAAAACCAGGCTGGAGATAACCACTCTTAAAGTCATTGGTGTTTACTCGAGAAAGTTTTTACTTGAGAAAACAAAAACAGAAAAGTAGAGACAAGATAACAGTAGAAATTATCTGTAGCTTWAAAAAAAACATTTAATATTTACAATTAAAGTGGTTCAAAATCAAGAGTATTATGCCAATTGATTAAAATATTTATGATGAAATTTTAAAATTCTGATGTTTAAGTGAAATAAAATAGTGTGGATTTTTTTATAATGGTCTCTTTTCCTACCCCCCCCCCAAAAAAAAGGCAAAAATTCTCAAATGTCTACAAGTAAGGAAGAAGTGGTTTCTACTTCACTGACTTTAGAAAATGTTTCCATTTTTAAAATCAATTAGTTGCTGATGTAAGTGTAAAATTAATCTGGTGCTAGGACAGTTTGATAAATTACTTGGCCTCTCCCTCATACCATATTCCTAAGTCAGTTCCAGGTGGATTGAAAACCTAAACAGTGAAAGCTAAGACAGAAAAACACCTTCAAAATTCAGGTCTAGGAAAGAATTCTTAAATGGAACACACAAAGTACTACCAATAAGGAAAAAAGATTGATTCATTGTATTAAAACTAAGAGCACCTTTCCTGAAAAGACATTGTTAAGAAGGTGAGATAGCAAAGCAGAGTAGAGGAATATCCCCCCCTGAGAAGTATACTGAATGTTCAATACAACTATTCAGAAGAATACATTTGAACAAATACCTCACAAAGGAGGAAATCCAGCTGACCATATAAAAAGGCCACGGGGAAGGCAAGCTGGAACCTCAACTAGATACCATTACTCATGGACCAGAATGACTGTTTCAATTTTCCTCAGTGGTATTGAAGATGTAAAACTGCTGTGTAAAACAGAACTTTGGAAGAGTTCAGGCTTCTCTCTTCTAAAGTTAAGGTTGGTCATACTCTGCAACCCTGTACTTCCAACAGCAGTGTGTGCGCTGGTGCAGAATATACTGGCAAAAAATGTTAACAGTAACACTTTTCATAGTAGTTACAGGACTCGATGTTCCTTAATAGTAAAATACATTTTTTTCAACTAATGGTATATTCATATGATGGAAAACTCCACAGCAATAAGAACAAATTACAGGTACGTGAAACATCATGGATTTATCTCACAGAGTTGAGCAAATAGAAACAAATTGTAGAGGCTCAGGAAATCAGGATAGATTACCCTAAGGGTCAAGAAGTTGAGCATCTTTGGAAGGAAGCTAAGACCAAGAAGCAACAGGCTGGTTTCTGGGCTTCTGACATGTCCTGACTGAGGATTGGTTTGCACAAATGTTCATGCCTTTAAAAGTCAGGAAATAGCCAGGCCAGATGGTGCACACCTGTAATCCCAGCAACTCAGGAGGCTGAGGCAGGAAGATCAAAAGTTCAAAGGCCAGCCTCAGCAATTTAGGAGACCCTGTCTAGAAAAATCAAAAGGTGTGAGGATGTAGCTCAGTATTAAAAAAGAGGAGAGAATAGGAAAGAAAGATCAGGAAGCACATTTATGTTGTGTGCTCTTATATGTTTGAGACCACAACAAAAATGTTTAAATAATCTGAAATATTAAATCACTGCTTTATTTTAAAATATATGGCACATACGCCTTGAAAAGAGTCTTATACCTGTGAGTTTTATAATATAGAAATACATCTTTGTGAAAATATTTTTAAATGTTTTTTAAAGTGTTTCATTAGTAATCTTTATACCAGGATTAAAGAGCTTATTTTATTAGGGTTTCCTCCTTCAAAAACTTTTCCATAATAATCCAAATGGAGATGTGTCCCCACATCCCTACAAATTCCTTTGTATGAGCCATTTGTTTTGTTTATTATAATACTTAAAATTTCTGTTTGGGTTTAGGTGGTTTGTTCTGGAAAACACAGCCTTTTGAGAAAGTGGGACTTTTTGTGGTGGTTATTTTAAGACGTTCGTTGGACGCTCTATTCTCTCAGTAGAGTGGAGAGAATGCTATTCGTTTCTGTGCTGGAATTACACGTTCACCAAATGATAGTTATTAAAGCCTGGGCTCCTGCCAGACCTAGCTGGGCTGCTAAGATGGGATAGATCGCTACTTCAATGCAAGGAGAAGGTGCGGCAGCCGATGGGCTGGCCTTGCTCCATCCACTGTGAGGACCTCTTAAAAATTCTAGACCCCGAGGGAATTAAAAATCTGCCCACCTTTTTCCAAACAACTCTACATCGCTTAAACTTCCTGGGGTAAGTGGGAAAGGGCAGATAACACATTCCCTCGGCTGCGGAGCCGGCTTCCAAGCCTTTTTTTTTTTGCCCTGAGCTCCCACCCAGCGGGTGTCGTTCTCGGCCCGGGACCTTGCGCTGAGCTCGGGCGACCCCGAGTTGGGGGTGGGGAGGGCGGCGGGCGGGGCGGGGCGCGGTGACAGCGCGGAGCCGGGCCCGCCCCTGGCTCCCACCCCCTGGAGCCCTCAGCGCCCGCCCGCCCCAGCTCGTCCAGCCCCGCGCTCCGCTCGCCCCGCCGCCGCCCGCGCCCGCGCCGTCCTCGCCGCTCCGCGTCCCGGTAAGCCCCCCACCCTCCTAGGGTCCCTCTCGTGCTTGCGGGGCTCCCTGCCCCCGCGCCGGGGCCCCAGCCATATCTGGGCAAAATATTCAGCTGTCGCCGCCGCCGCCAAGAGAGACTGAGCGTGGCTCTCTCTATAAATAGCTGCCGCCTCGGATTGCCATCGGGACTGGGGAGCCCGGGTGTCGGGGTCCGGCGCCCCGCGCTCCGCTCCCCCGGCGCTCCGCTCCCAGCCGCCTGGCGCGCATGGCCCCGGCCAGGGCGCCCGCACTCTGAGCCGCGCCTGTAAACGCCAGAAAGAGCCGGGGGCTCTGGCAGAGCAGCGCCGGGGGCCGGGGTCCTGGTGGAACRGACTCCCCGCCGCCGCTGGTCTCCTGTGCTGCCGGCCTGAGCGCCCGCGGGGCGCGCTGCTGGGTGCAGGTGCCCACCGAGCCGGGCCCAGGGGCGCGGCCTCCTCCACCCGCGGAGAGTCTGGGGGCGGGAGTGGGAGCACGAGGCTCCGGGGACGCGGATCCCGGGTTCGCGCTGAGCCGGCCTGTGGCAGGAAAAGTTTCACAAACTGCAGGAGATGGTAAGGTTTAAAGCACCACCACACGCGCTTTACGCAGCCGGGAGGAGCGGGAATCAGCCTGGAGGCAGGAGCCCCCTCGCTACGAGTGGCCAGGGTAGGGTCCTACCCTTCTCTGGACCTCGCTTTCCGGGTTTGCAGGGAGAGGTTAGGTCCCCGCAATGGAGCTAGGAGCGCGGCGGTGAGAGCGGCGGGGCGGGTTCGTGACCGCCTGCGCTCCCACCACCTGTTCACCAGCTCCAGGCCTGGGACACGCTGGACACAGCCGCCCACATCAGGAGGGGTTGCAGAACTCAGAGACTGGTGGATCCCCGAATCGGGTGTATTCTGGAACCCACTAGAGCCCTCCAATACCCTGTGTCATACACTCCCGGGAAGTGCACCCCGGGGGTGCTTACTGTCCGCTGGGTAGCCATCGCCTTGCAAAACAGCAAGGGACCCATACAGCTTTAGACCCAGTGAACTGGGCAGGGCCAAGGGTTCCAGTCCAGAGCTCCCTGGCCTCAGTTTCCCCGTCTGTAAAAYACCTATGACATGCCCTCTGAGCTGCACCGCTCCCTCCTCTTGCCCACCCACCACTTCCGTTATCGACCCTCTTTGAAGTGCTCATCTTTGCCCGCTCAGACTCTTGAAAACCACTTGGCCTAAGCTATTAGGTGTCCACATCACACAGCCCGCCCCTGAACCCAGGTGCTAAGACCTCAGAGCACCTCGAGGGCTCCATCTTTCTCCCCAGGTGACGGCCATCTTGTCCCCAAGCGCCTCAGAGCCCCCTGCTGAAGGTCACGCTGCTGAACAGCAGGTCTGCAGACTCCGCCTGTTTTTCCCCATCTCTTTCTGACCCTTCCCGCTGTGCAAGCAGGTCTTGGGAGCCTCTGAGCACCTAGTCTATGCCCCTCTTTTGTGATCTGCTACTGAACAGGACTTTCCTTTGCTAGAGCAATGGTGCTGTCACCCTAGAAGGCTCAGTTTTGTTCCTAATGCCTCTATTACATTTTCTCCATAACCATCTCAAAGCCTCAGAGGTAAAATAATTAAGGAGAAATAGAGCCATATAGCAAGGTTCTCATCAATTCAAGCCGCACAATAAGCAGACAGATGAAAAACAAGGAGCACCATCCCTTTAGTGTGTTCTCTCTGGTGAGCTAGTCTTTTCCTCAGTATTGGCCCCTGGGTTCCTAGCAGCCTAAGTGGAAAGCCAGAGTCCTCTAAAAATAGCCTCCGCCCCATCTTATCAGGGTCTCACACCTTCTAGCTACTCTAGGGTGGGGTGGTTTCCTGCAGCTCAGCAAAATATGAAAACAGGGAGCAGGTAGTGGCAGCTGTGAGTATCAAGGGTGGTCTGGCCTGGGGGTCAGAATCCCTGGCTCCAGCCCCAGCTCTGCTGCCCACCCAGAGTGACCTTGAGCAATGAGGAGTGGCCAAAATGGTCTCTAGTGGAGGGAATCAAGAGGGCTCAGACTCTCATTTGGAAGACTTTCTAGCATGAGGAACTTAAAGTGCCAGGCATGAAATCTGAGGCATTCCCTGGTGAGGAGAGGTTGGGAAAGGAGCAGGAGAAAGTGGCTTCCCAAGACCTCAAGAAAGAGAGAAGTGGGCAATAACATTTGTTTCAGAGAGAGAGGGTGGCGAGAGCTAGGGAAGGAATATTGGATTTGACAGAGGGCATGGGTGAATTTCACCAGGGCATTGCAGAGGATTCAAAAACACGATCTACCAGTGACCCTTGCCCAAGCCTCAGTTTCCTGCTCCTAATAGTGGGGATAAGAACTTCATTCATTTCCTCCAGGTTTGCTGTGGGGATTGAGAGGATTCTGGGAAAGCCCTCAGTGCAGAGCTGGGCACCTCGTGATGGTATTATTATTGTTGGTGAGGGACAGAGGTGGGAGCTGAAGTGGAAATAATTTCCAGCTCTTTTTAAAAGCTTAAATGTTGGAACAGGTGGCATATACCTGTAATCTCAGCAGCTCAGGAGGCTGAGACAGGAGGATCTTTATTTCAAAGCCAGCCTCAGCAACTTAATGTGGCCCTGAGCAACTCAGCAAGACCCTGTCTCTAAATAAAATATAAGAAAGGCTGGAGATGTGGCTCAGTGGTTAAGCACTCTAGTGCCAAAAAAAAAAAAAAAAAAAAAGCTTAGATAAGGAAGGGAGAAGGAAGGGGAAGGTGGTAGGAGCCAGGGACAGAGCACAGAGGGAGGAAGACTGTGACGGAGGAGAAGAACACAGGAGAGGGAAAGGCAATAATAGAAGAACCTAAGGGGTCAGAACTGAGGATCTTCCTTAATGACTTGCTAAATGTCACAGATCCCACAGGTGGCCTTCATCCTCTGGAACCAGGTTGAGCAAAAAAGGGTAAAAGAAGGCAGATTCTGGCTGGAGGCCCCTATGTCCCCCGGCAGATTTCAGAATCTGCAAAGGAGCTGGGTGATGGGCCATGAAGGGTGGCTTGACCTGCCCAGGGGCCTCCTGACCTTGGCTGGCTTATTTCTGAAATGACATCATCTATCAATGACTCCTACTGAGCCCAGTCATAATGGCCTTTTCCAGTCAATGTTTTGATTTTTCAGTCTTACTAATGGACCAGCCAGGCTGCCAACATTTCTAAAGATGCCTGCTCACTTTCCCTTAAAGCCAGAACACCAGATAGATCAATTATTTGGCTGCTAAGAGCCATTATCAGCTTAAAGCCACGGGCCTTCTACTATGGAGCAATGTGAGATAGCACAGTTCCGGGGTCACTTCCTCCCTTTTCTTTTTTGGTTGATCTTGGTAGGACATGATTTGATTCTCTTTGCTTGTAATGATAATGAAAGAGTGAGCTCACTGGAGTCAACCTAGGACAAGGTCTGGACAGTTTCCTTGGTATTAGGAGGTGCTAGATCCTTCTCTGATCTGAAAAAATAAACAAATTCAAGCATTGTTTCCATTTCTCCTTCTCTAATGTCTTTTTGCAAAAGCGAGCTTTGTGAAAGAGCTGGACCTTACCTGGCCTGGGGAGAAAAGAGGAGGGAGAGGGAGACGTACCCCACCCCAGTGTACCTGTCTCATTTTATCTGCCCAGGGTCCCCAGCCACCCCTCACTCTGGGGTCAGTAGGATGGTGCCCCCAGGCTGGTCCTGGAGATGACTATGGTGGGCGGTAGGTTATGACCACCAGATGTTTTGCCCAGAGGAAGCGTGGGAGCAGATATGTCTTCTTCATGGACTGGCTTTCTGCCTCTCCCTTCAAAGCTGGTGCCACTCATAGCCCTCCTCTCCTCCCAGCCCACACCCTCTCACAGTCTCATCCACTCCCATGACTCTGACCACCCTGTGATCCCGAGTTCTGTGTCGGCCTGGACCTCTGTCCTCAGCTGCAGGCATCTGTAACTCCTGCCAGTTGGACAAGAGCAATAGGATGTCCCAAAGGCACTCCAGTCCAGCAGGCCAGACCCAGGCTCTTCCCCCGTCCTCTTCCTGTGTCCCCGGCTTAGTTGCCAAGGACACCGTCCACCCAGCCACCACGCCAGAAGCCTCCCTTTCCTTCCCCACCCTTACGTAAGGCCACCCAGTCCTGTCAGTTCTATCCACCACTCCAGTTGTCAGAAGATCTCTGTGAAGTGGAGCTGTGGCCACCGTGTCACTTCCATTTCAAGGAGTCCCCCTTTCCTCCTACAGACCCGTTTCCTTACCATGGTCCCAAGCTACTTCTTTGAAATCACACAGATTGGGGTAGACCCTCCCCCGAATCTGTGTGCCTTCTGATCATGGCCCCAGCCCACGGTGTCTTCCTGCTTCTGTTGTCCCTTCTGCCTGGAATGCCGTCATCCTTCAGAACAGAGCTCCTCGGTGCCACATCTGTGCTCCCACCGCCCTCGGCTCCAGTCACGGTGTGTTCTGACTGGCACCATCCACTGACCTGTCCATCTGTGGGGAGACTGAAACCCCCTTGAGCATGGGGTTTGTGGTTCATTTATTTCTGCCCCCCAGGGGTCTGCCTCATGGCTCAGCCGTTGACGTAGTGCAAACACTTTAGGGCTGAATTAATGGCTGCCTGTTGGATGAATGAAGGAGTAAAGAACAAGCAAAACCAAGCTCTGTGATCTCCGCGACTGTCACTCAACACCAGCCAGCCCTTGCAGCAAGTTTTCCTGTTCCTGCTCCATGAGGGCACATGCCACCCGTTCTGCTCCCTGCCAAGTCCCCAGTCCCTAAGGGCCCCCACACAGTGATACCTAGTGAACCAATCCATGATCTCATCTGAAACTCACAGGGAGAAACGGCAGGTATAACCACCCCCTTTATGTAACTGGACAGTGAACCCCATCAGGCATTGCTCCAGGTCATCTGGCTGGAGAGTAAATTCCAGAAAACTGAAGTGCTCTTCGGGGTTCCATCAGCTTGAGGGACGAGAGTCCTAATGTTGTGTCAGGACTTCCTAACTTTCTAATG